GGATTATAGTGTGTTTGGTCGTGACAATAACTTTAATATAATTGTAAATTGAACAGTTTAGTTCAATTGAAACACATATTTTTATTATAACTAACAGTATAATTGAAGGATTGTTTAGAAAGATTTAGATTATTTCAGACAATTCACGACCGCACCACTTGTCCCTGACCATCACGTTTATGATTTCTATCATAAAAATTTCAAAAATTAAAATATCGTCATATTTCAATGTTTTATACACAAAAGAAGCACACCTATATACAAACATAACGATTTTTCGGGTTTCAGGTAAGTTTTTTCGGAGTTATATAAACTTAAAAATATTTTATTGGCTTTTTTTCAATTTTTTGAGTTTTTTTATTTTTTTCTAGAAAGACCAAATATACCAAAAGCTCAGTGACCTTTTTATTGTATAATGGTCATAAAAGTAAATTAGTTTATAGCAAAACATAGTTATAAAAATAATATTAACTATTTTTAATATTCATTTAAACGTCCGTTATGGTCGTGACAGGATTTTGTGTTTTTCCACTAAAGATGCTTTAAAAAAAAAAACTACCAAAGATATTGCGTTACCATGGACATTTTATGAAACTTCAAATGTTAATGAAATAAAAAACTAATAAAAGTTTTGAAAAAAGGGGAAAAAATTTTGCAAAGTGCTTTTCCTGAAAACGTACGTTTTTAAATTTTCACTCACTCATGAACTAAGTTACTGCGACTGAGAAACATTACTACACATTTGGAGATATTGAGCTCCATTGCATTTTATATGCACCATTTGCTGATGTTGTTAATCGAGTGTTGGAGCATTTCTTGGTCATGTGTGGAGGTTACTTTGTTGAACACCTTAATGTCGTCAGCAAATAAGAGAAATTTCGTTTTAATTTCTGGGCAGATGTCGTTTATGAACAAATTAAACAGTAGTGGTCCAAGATGAGAAACCTGGGGCACTCAAGAGGCAGAGAAGGGACGGGATTGCTCTCCATCACACCTAACAACGAGGGTGCGGTCAGTGAGGTAACTTTTCAGCGAGGAAAGTAATGGGCCGCAGAAGCCATAGCCCTCAAGTTTAGCAATCAATAAGCGATGGTCGATGGTCTATTCTGTCGAAGGCTTTGCTAAAATCCAGATGGACACAATCTACTTGGGAATGTTCGGTAAACCCTGGCATAATTAGATTGTGGAAAACGAGGAGGTTGTAATGGGCAAAATTCATTAGGGGGTTCGTTTTCATTATTTTAAGGCCGCGAAGGCTTGAGCGCGCTCGACAACAATGACAAACATGTCCACTGCAAGTCAAGTCTCCTAGTTCGTGACTTGGCCGCCGCGACCTCGGGGCGCTGACTTAGACGTGGTGGGGAGAAGCCGAGACCGGTGGACAGTGGACATTTCTTGAGACAGTCTATGGCGATTGGCGAGCGCTTGTTCGCCAAACACCCTCCCTCAAGAGCGTACAGCGGACCTGCGAGCATAGGTCGTGGATTCGACTCGCAACGTGCGAGACAACATAAAAGCGACAAAAATAATAAATCGAGAGAAGTATCATCAGACGTAAGTACTGTGGTATACCATTGCGTTAATAATAATCTTATTTTCCCCGTTTTACTTTGGCGAGTAAAAGTTAATTTTCGTTACGATCACCTTAGGTGTAAGAGATTAGCGTATTGTATTTCTCAGGCCGGCACTGCTAGGGCAGTGCCACAGTAGCCTACATTTTTTAGTTAATTTATCTAAAGTGGTTTTATTTTATTTTATCCAAAAGTATTTAATTTCGTTATTTTGTTATTGCGTGGGACGACCTTTTATTTCACTACGAGAGTATTATTTTTATTTTTTATTCGAGAAGCGATACCTTTTGTTAGACCTAGAACCTGGTCACGTATTTTAGTTCATAGAAGCATCGTATTTAGAGCCGATATATTCCTAGTCAGTGCGTCGTTGTGCTGACATACAACCATAGTATAGTGTGCGTGTAGGACGACGAAGATAACATCTACGAAGATCGAGAAGCGGTTAGCGAGCGACGGGGCTGACAGCTAAAACCCTGGACTACTCCCGAGCTGTCCGAGTAAATCGGGGGTAAGTTTAGGATAGGTTAAACCTACCCGAAATAAACACCTCACAAGGTTTGTGCAAGAGGAGCGACCCTGGATGAAGCCATGTTGTTCTGGAGTAATAAATCAGCCAAGTTGAAAAATTTCCAACAGTCAAGTATAAGGCTTTCATAAATTTTGGACAGGGCAGACTGAATGGCAATTGGTCTATAGTTTTTGTTGTTGTTTTTGCAACCTGATTTAAAGATAGGAACAACAAAGCTATGCTTCAGCACCGTCGGAAAAGTTCTCTCTGAGAGGAGTTTTGCAAAGTAAATTTGGAGGTGGGGTGCGAGGACCGGGCGCAGTACTTCAGTACAGCAGGCGGGATGTCGTCTGGGCCGGCTCATTTGTTCGGGTCCACTGCTTCAAACTTTCTCTGCACATCAAAAGCTTGAAACTGACAGCTTCTTATTGATAGATTCAGACCAAAGTCAAAAGTAGGCAGTGGAACGTCAGTCACTCGTAAACTGAAGAAAAATATCTAGAGAAAAGGTTGCATTTGCCTTCGGGGTCAGTGGCTTCTTCTGAGTCAAGAAACAGAGGATGGGAGCGAAGATGAGTTTTTTTTGCATTTAACATATGACCAGAAGGACTTCGTGTTTGAGGGGATACTGTCCTCGATCTTGCTGAGATATAGCCCCCTGCAGACGGGGACAGTAGTGGCGTCCAGTACTGGCATCCACAAGTGGCGGCCACTGTACTGTCAAGACAGTAGCCCTACACTCGGGGACAGTACTGGCTGCCACAGAATCTGTTTTTAGTGCCAGCCAGTGTGACACCACAGTGTTTTTTTTTGTTCTTTTTTTCAGAATCAAAATGGATTAATTTGACGTGGAATACGAAAATGCAGTGGATGAAGTTGTCGAAGAAGTTGTTGATGAAGTAATTAATGTTTTGAGTGAAGAATTGGAAGATATAGTAAATACCCCCGCCGCTGCAAACCTGCAGACTAAGCGAATTATCATTAGCCTGATATATATGATATATGAAGGTAATTTAAATGAATGTGTCCAGCGTCTATAAGTTAGGTTACCAACTTAATAATAGGCCTAGATTGTACATTTCGCTACGGCAATCACGGATTGACAACAGTTTCCTCAGTGCTCTAATTGCGACTAGAACATTTTAAGAATTAAGGTTAGGAAAAAATGGCTGTTTGTAGGTCACGTGACCACGCTACTGTCCTCTGAGTGGCCAGTAAACTCAAACTATTTTGTCTTTACTGGCGGCCAGTATAGCTACTGATGGCCGTTCAAGCGTCCGGTACCTTATCCCACGTAGACAGTAGGCGGACAATTACTGGCCGCAATTAATGGCCAGGCCTTCTGGACGCCACTACTGTCCTAGTGGCCTGACTACTGTCCCCGTCTACAGGGGGCTGAAATTGAACGGAGTGACATTGAATTGTTTGTAACTTGCAGACTCTTCTTATATTTTGGAAGTTCAAGTAATGTTGATGGGATAGTGATTTATATTTCTTATGTAAAGCCATAGATAAAACATACTCCTTGAGGAGTATGTTTTATCTATGGTAAAGCCTTCTTAGCTATGATTATGATTAGTCTTCTGAGGTTATTCCGGTTATTCGAGAACCAATGTGGACATTTTGAGCCAGCGGATTTTTTAAGGGTGAGTGGGACTTGATGGTGGATCCAATGTATGTACAGAAGTTGTGAAAATCATTCTCTATGTTGAATTGATCAGACAGAATAGGATAGTTGAGACGAAGGAGACTATCTCTATGACAGTGTTGACATTACAACGTCGGAAGTCATGGAAGCTATTAAAATGTAATCCGTAGAATAAATTAACACCAAACATGGTGTTTATTTATTGTAGGCGTATGCTAAAGTGTAGTTTTGAGATAAATTAATCGGACCTAATATGGTCTTATTTTCCCTCATCTTACCACTTATGCCTTGCCCATATGGGGACCATGAGAGTAAGCGGATCTTATTTCTATTCCGTTTGCAGAAGCGGGTAATTAGAACTATATTTTCTTAAAAAAAACGACAAACTTGCAAACTGGGTTTTCAAACTCCAAACATCTTAACGTTTCCACCCATTTTCATATAGTTTCACGTTTCATAAACCCTATATTCATTCCTAAAACAAAACATCGACAAGTTCAATATTTCCCATGACCATATAATTACAATTTAAGAACTTCTTATAATCTCCCTGTCCGTTATACATTTTTTTTTAATATCTCCGTTACAATGCAGAAAAATATCTTTAACAACCTTCCAACGCATCTAAAGACAGAGTCAGACCATCTGAAATTCAAAAGGAAGTTAAAATCATTCTTATTAAATAAATGCTACTACAGCGTCCGTGACTTCCTGACTGACGGATAGATTCTTATTTATAATTGTAAACAAAATGATTCGTAAAAATTATGTTTTAAGTTATTTTATTATTGTAAGATAAATGACATTGTATTTTGTACTATTTTGACGTAACCAATGCATGTATATGTGTCCATAATTGGTCCAATCAATAAACGTGTTATTGAGTTATGTTTTAGTATCATATTATTTAATCTAAGGATGGATAGTTTCAATCGATATAAGCATAGCCCAGTTAGGAGACTGTACCCACGATATCGATTGATGATGTCAAATCATAGATTTAAGAAATAATAGATAAATTTAAAACTATAAACTCGTATTGTATTATTATAATACAACATTGAAAACTGTGATATTGTAATGAAAATACATGTAAAATTTAATATACTCAATCTTATGAAGCTGATATAGCATTTGTAGTGCAGACGATGTCGTTGGCAACACTGTTGTTAGCCAAGTTTACAAAAAAAAACAATTCTGCTAATAGTGCTAACAACAGTAATAACAGCAAACAGACAGACAGTAACAGTAACAGTGCTGCTAACTTCAATGACTTCAATATTATCTAAACAACCATCCATACATAATGGTAAAATTTACCCAGATAAATGATTAGGATCAGTTTAATTGTCATATCCTTTGTGAAATCACACTGAGTCATTGTGTTTTCTAGTTTTAAATATACTTTTTCTAAAAATGTCAGTAAAGGTTCTTGTTAATAAATGCGAAAACTTCTGTGCCAAACAGATAACACAATTTATGGTTATCGGTTTTGTGAACAATGGATAGGGCCATCATCAACACATTTTAATTAAGAAGATCGAGTAGGATCAAGAATATAAGACCATCCATGAATGGGGTAAACATTTAGGGCAGTGAGAAAAAGTATTCATTGAATTTTATTGAGATATGTGATCATTACCAAGTAATTGTTTGTGATAGCTTAAACTGTGAAAGGTTATGCAGGAACATCTCATAGTGAGATGTAATTAGCATTTCTGCTAGGTTACATATCCATCCGAATACAGTATGATATACAAGCAAGAAATCTTTATTTTGATTTCTATCATCATTGGCTTTCTAAAAAATGGATTTTACTGTGAAGATACTCCAGAACCAGGTAAGCAGTTAGCCTACCAATGTTCCCTTGGTTTGGCTACCTTCGGTTATTCCAAGTACCGATAGTGCCAATTTATGTTTACATTAATAATTGTACTTCACAAAATGTGTAGATGTCCATCCAGTAGTCCAAGTTTAATTTCAGTGTTGGTATAGCTAATGTCTAGATGCTTTTAGCCACAAGGTACCCTAAGTTAGGCTATTTTATTTAGGCGCCTATGTCAGTTAAGTTTTACCAATTGTGTCTGCAAATCATATTGAACCATGATTTATCTATTCAGGGTGGAGCATGATAAATTTTAAATTTTCATGTATCAGCTGGTGGTTTAACCCTCCGAGTGTTATTTGTCGCTGCAGCGACACATAACACACTTTGTGTACCTAGTGTTTTGTGTCGCTGCAGCGACTCTCAAACACTGTTTACGGCGAAGTCTCTATGACTGACAAAATCGGATTGAACTGGATCGAGTTAGGTATCGTTTTACTTGACAGATTCAGAGCTTTCTCCGGAGGTCTGTCTTTAAGCGCTATTCATTTTAGTTCCGAAAATATTGTAGCAGACAGCTGACGTGCGTATTTGTAAACAACTTTGTTAACCTTGGACCGATGACTGATATGTTTTATTACGTTTATCATTGTTTTAGTGTTAAAAATCAAAAGTAGTGATATACGTGGTGCATTATAAGAAGATTTAAGTGATTTTAAAGGGCTGGTTGATGATCCTGAAGAAGTAGGTAGTGATATTGATGTAAATTATCAGCCAGATTCCTAGCTATGGTTAGGCTATGCATTCTTAGCTAAACGCTATGTACTGAAATCTGTTTTTTGCCCATAACTTATTTATTTGCAAATCTACTTCCTTATATTATTATATATTTGTAATCCTCATAAAATTTAGAACAAAGTGGCTATTTTCAAATATTTATAGGCCTATAATATATACAATTTCATTGAGCGCAAACTTATTTTTTTTTGAAAATTTTCGAAATTATATTTTTTTTACCTAAAAATTTTTTTTTGAAAAAATGTTCCTTATGTTTTATATATAATATTGAAGCCCATGATTTTCCAAACAAAATGGTATATAGAACATTAGAATTAACATTGTTTTAAGCTTCTCAGATCCGTTTTAATAAAACCTTGCAAATGCGCCAAAAATAGGTGGACATTAAGGCCTAAACTATGGACACTTGGAGGGTTAAGTTGAAAAATTAAATTCTTGAATAAAGACCCATCTATACTGCCAGGCTCTTTTCAAATAATCAACCAAGACACGCCAATTCCTCCAATGAGTAAAACCAAGATTGTGATTTTGACCAAGAAGTAATTGACACATCGTTTCAATGCAGATGGGAGACGTTGAAATCTCAACCGTTTAAGCTGTCAAGTACCTTGGGATCATAGGGGACCAGGGTTGCCACCTTAGGTCAGGGAAAAATTGGGACATTGCTCAATGCTCCCCGATTAACATAGGCTTAAATACGGGCATGAGGAACCAAATTTGTGACTGTCCCGGCAGAATTGAAACGGTTGGCAACCCTGTGGTGGACAGTGAAGCTGGCGGGACGGTACCTTCTGTCAGTCCTTAGTCGGTTAATGGTCAAAGTCGGAGGTCCTTGTTCCAGTCCTAAAAGGCAGTGACTGTGGTCCAATTTGTAAACCAGTACAGAAGTGTGAGCAGACATGATAAAAAAAGAGGTATACAGGATATCACTCGTGTCAGGTAGCACTCAAGGTAACATCCGCTTATTGAACAGTGTCTGAACCCACCGTTCTGGTGTTTACTGGAGTCATCCCTGTCAAGTTTTTAGTGGCTAAGAGGCCGGGAGGGCACACCCCCCCCCCACGGTCAGGGCCCGGGTGGGGTGGGCGGGGTGTGGGAGGGGGGGTATCAATCTATCTGGGGAGGTCCAGGCAAGAACAGAGGAGCGCACCCTCACCTACCAGCTCTGGCAAGAGAGCTGGGAATAGGAGAAGCCTGACCAGGCGCAGTTGGTCCCCTTGGGGTTAATCGGTGGTGCAGGGTTATTTGTTACATCACCTCGTATCTGACATGTTTCGGCTATTTTTGGTCATACCTGTTCAGGATGGACATGGCCGTGTTACCCGATTGGACATCTACCTTTCCCTTTCTAATCTATTATATCACTCCATCAATCAAAGACAAGATGCACAATTGATTCTTACTTTTAAAATGTCCCTTGTATGAACATTGTTACCAAAAGCAATTTTATTATTGATACACCAAGTTTAATCATTAACACAATCAAATTTCATTACAAAATACGTTACCTACGTATCAATATTTAGACCTCATAATGTATGTTGAAGTGCAAAGCCCTCATTAACTTTAATTTCTTTTCAGATCTAATAACGAACGAACTTATTGTCGATGAGAGCTTCATAGAATACGCTAATGAGAGTGAGTAGAATTGCCTTATTCTAACACTTGCCACAGTTTTTAGGTGGGCCATTCATTGGTACTTTCCATTAATCTCTTTATTATAGTTGAATAGTTTTATGAATATTTATGGTTTAGATTGATTTTATGGCGAAATTTCGGGTTGAGAGACAAAATTAGATTTCAAAATACGTAATTGACGTCTCACCTGAAATTCAGTCACACCATAAATTTGACAAGATAGCCTAGCCTACAATGAGATAGTCCAGGACTCTAACGTGTTCGTTAATTAATTATCGTTTTCAGTTTATTGGCTCAGAATATTAATTACAACACTGCTAACACGTTTAGCTTTACTTTTAACAAGTGCTCATCACAGCCACTCGAAAAGATAATCGAAGCTAAATTTGGAATTTTGAATAAACTATCGTGAATGTGAATAAGCATAATTAATTGGAAACTTAAGCTAAGCGTGATTTGTTCGTTATAATTGGTAATCAATCACCAAAGTAAACGTGTCTGGAAAATTAGACTTGGTCGATCACCAGAGTCGATTCGGGGTTTCTTAGATTAAAATAACGTAATACTGTTCGGGGTAATTGAATAAATTCTACGTATATCGTTCTGGCTACTTAAATGATTTCCTAAGCTGGTTAGAGTTAAATGGCTGTGAGCTCGTTCGTGAAAAAGAGTGCGGGTTGCGCACGACTGCGGCACAATATAATAAAAATAATAAAACTTCTCTAAAAATTGAGATTAAACAAAATAAATTCGGTACCTAGCACACTAACCTGATACCTTAGGATTCTACCAGGAACGGGGAAAATCTTTAACTGACCAGAATTTAATAAGTTCAAATATAAACTTATTTATATTTGAAATATTTTTGAAATATTTTGGTAATGCTGTTGGATTCCAAACAGCAAGTGTGTAGACGGTTCGGTAGCGGGTGGACAACTGACCCTGAGGTCTGCTCTTCTGGTCCTTCTTCGCCATCGCCCCTGGCGGCGAGGTAGGTAACTAGCGTCCTCCCCTCTACTATGACGTAGGACCCCTGCCCCTACGATGTTGCTGACAACGCGGGCTCGGCTTACCCCAAACGTAGAAAATTATTATATCTTTGAAATAAAACTTTAAAACGGATTTTTACCCCTCAACGGGTTTTGGGTCGTTACTATTTATTACCGTGAATCAATTATTGAATGTTTGGCCAAATCTAAGACTTATTATAAGGAATGTTTGGTCTACAAGGAGAGGGATCGGAACTTCTTGGGTACCAGTACCTAAGGGACCAGTTTCTATTTCAGCAATAGTCACTCCATCGATGATGACCAAACAACTCTTCAATCAACTCGAGTGTAATAATTTAATGTCTTTAAGGCAATATAATTTCAGAAAGCCTAGATTTATCGCTAGGGCTGTAATGATAGTGGTTGATAATGCTTTTGGGGTTGGAAACTCAGCTGGTCACATACTGTGTGACAAAAGTTGTGGCTTTTATTGTGTAAACCATTACTTGCTTATACGGAAACTTGAAAGAATTTGTGTAGGCTATGTTGTTCTGAGGACTATCTAAGATTACATAGGCTATAAAACTTACCGTCTTGAAGCAATCCAGTATTGTACTTAGCTGTTTCGGCTTTATAAAGCCATCTTCAGCACTTTCTTCATAGAGGTTATTTCATAATAAATATGCAAACATCCTTGTTCTTGTCAACTTGTTACAATACATTTGAAACACAAATAAAAACACGAAAGACGAAACATCTAAGATTATCTTTCAAGAAGGTGTCAGATGGTCTCTATTGAAGGAGTAACTTCATATCCGCCGAGTGTAGATTTCGGTAATCAGTCCGATATTATTTCTATGACTTCAAAAAGAGCGGAAATGTCTTCCTTTTGGCAGACCATCGGTCAGCTGTGAGAGGGAAGCCAAGCTCTTGAGGACGCTTAAAAATGCTTTGAGACAAATGGTTTCCAGTCAAATATGATGCAAACTCAGTCTCTCGTCTGCAGGTTTGTCAGAAACCCCTCCCTCGATAAACTTGTTAAACTTCTAGGCTTTACAGTGGATCAGCAAATGTCATGGAATGAACATGTAGTACAAATTGTTAACAAACTTTCAAACTGTTTCTTGTTATTAAAGTTAGGCCACTTGATAACTGACTCTTATCTATTGGGTATCTACCATGCCATGTTTCATTGCCATGTGATTCATCGTCTGTTGATGTGGGGTCATGCTCCTCTGGGCAGAAGAAATTCTGACTGCCATTCCCTTTGTAAACCAATTTTTGTGAGGTTGGGCATTTTCACAGTGTTTGGTCACTGCATCCTAACCTGCACTCTGCACGCTCCCAGAGCTGCTACAGTATTGACGAGCCTGATATCAGAAACAGGGTAATTTTGACATACCTAGAGTTAGGCTGCCCAGAACTTGGAAATGTTTCAATATTGTAGACATCAAAATCGTACAAATGCCTAGCTCTGTCAGAAGTCTAAACAAGAAAAGCTTAAGAAGAATAGTGCCACCCCTTTAGAGAACTATTCTCTAGATAAGTATTTTGATGGCCCTCTTTAAGATCCGGTCTGTATTTTTTTGTTAAATTCATGTTTTGATTTATATGATTGAAAAAAGTCTTTTCACGCCATCAACTTTGGGATCAAATATGTAGATCTGGTAATAAGACAATCTCTACCATTTGTTATGATTGTTACTGTATTCTAATTAGGTCTTAAGCTTATAGCCGATAGTAATATGAATGGTCCTACTTAACATTTTTTTAGGAATTGTGTACATGATTCTAATATACCGGTAACTGCTCAGAAATGATTATTTCTTTGAAGTTAGACTATTAATAAGTTGATTATTTTCAATCTTATTGTAATTATCCAAATTCACAGGCCTCAGTAAACCTCAGAATTTAACCATCGGGGAAATAACAGATACATCAATGGAGCTAAAATGGATCAAACCTAAGACTTCAAATCCAAACCAGGTGTTGGAATATCAAATTTATTACATTCACAACAATTATACCAACTGCAAAAAGCATTCAACACCTGCCCTAGAAGTGACCTTCAATTTAACCAATTTAGGTAGGCTCATGAATTATTAGCATTTCTTTTAAGATATTTTGTGTTGATTTATCTAAATACTGTAAAAGCTCAGCGCAAACGGTGCAGCTATTTCCTGACAAGGGTTCTGTAATTCTTACAATTTCTGTCCTGCTTGTCCTTTATTGCTGTTGCTTGTTATTTGTTTGTAATTTATGTCAATTCCAAGTCAAATCATAAAAGTGCAAAATGAAATGAAAAAAAATGATTTATTGTCGTTCAACTACAAAGTTCATGACAATAGTCAAAAGGAAAACAAAACAATCAAGATGGCTCTGGTTCTCAAGTGCATCAACAATGCAAAGTTCTCTTAGGTTATTTTACAGAGTATCAATTTTTAGGCAATTTATTGTTGCCAATTGATCAAAATTCCACCATCAAACCAAACCATTACTAAGTGTTACACTGACTTTTGAGTGTTCAAATTAAAAAAATACTTGATTTAATGAAATCAGATGTCACCCAGACATCGCTGTTGATAAAGTTATCCCTTGGGCTACTTTAGCCTGTAGGTAATAAGAGTTTATTATACCGAAAAGTTGCAACTCAATTCGCAAGTAATTAATAGTTTAGTTCATATAAAATAAAATAATACCATTTGTTTAGAAACTTACTCAACCGTTTTGAAAGATTTGAAATATTTTGATATTTTTCAGAACCTTTTGCCCAGTACAAGGTTTTTGTGAAAGCTTCTTCCAACAACCACGATGGATTGCCCAGTGACGCTGTCATTAGGCAAACAGATGTCAGCGGACCAGGACCTCCTGTGATACTGAATGCTACTTGCGCTACTCCCTCCACTCTGGTCGTCTACTGGCAGCATCCTCCATCCTTCAACAAAACAGTGGACGTCTACATCATCGCCTACCGTGAGGAGAACTCGTACACATTCAGCAACATCACAGTGAAGCCATGCAACAATACTTGCAAAGAAAACAAGGTAGGTAACTACCAACAAAATTACGAATTTGAATCAAATAATTGTCTTGTGCAGGGTGTTCAGCTGACCTGAAAGTCAGGAAAACCAGAATTTATAAATTAATTTTGATAGTATTAAAAATTAATTAGCACAATCATGGTGTTATTGTGCTCTGGTTAGATTCTCAGAGGTGTTGTCATTTACGTAGTTGACAATCATGGTGTTATTGTGCTCTGGGTAGATTCTCAGAGGTGTTGTCATGGACGTAGTTGACAATCATGGTGTTATTGTGTTCTGGGTAGATTCTCAGGGGTGTTGTCATGGACGTAGTTGACAATCATGGTGTTATTGTGTTCTGGGTAGATTCTCAGAGGTGTTGTCATTTACGTAGTTGACAATCATGGTGTTATTGTGCTCTGGGTAGATTCTCAGAGGTGTTGTCATGGACGTAGGTGACAATCATGGTGTTATTGTGTTCTGGGTAGATTCTCAGAGGTGTTGTCATGGACGTAGTTGACAATCACGGTGTTATTGTGTTCTGGGTAGATTCTCAGAGGTGTTGTCATGGACGTAGTTGACAATCATGGTGTTATTGTGCTCTGGGTAGATTCTCAGAGGTGTTGGCATGGACGTAGTTGACAATCACGGTGTTATTGTGCTCTGGGTAGATTCTCAGGGGTGTTGTCATGGACGTAGTTGACAATTATGGTGTTATTGTGTTCTGGGTAGATTCTCAGGGCAGTTGTCACAATCGTAGGTGACAATCATGGTGTTATTGTGCTCTGGGTAGATTCTCAGAGGTGTTGTCATGGACGTAGTTGACAATCACGGTGTTATTGTGTTCTGGGTAGATTCTCAGAGGTGTTGTCATGGACGTAGTTGACAATCATGGTGTTACTGTGCTCTGGGTAGATTCTCAGAGGTGTTGGCATGGACGTAGTTGACAATCACGGTGTTATTGTGCTCTGGGTAGATTCTCAGGGGTGTTGTCATGGACGTAGTTGACAATCATGGTGTTATTGTGTTCTGGGTAGATTCTCAGGGCAGTTGTCACAATCGTAGGTGACAATCATGGTGTTATTGTGCTCTGGGTAGATTCTCAGAGGTGTTGTCATGGACATAGTTAACAATCATGGTGTTATTGTGCTCTGGGTAGATTCTCAGAGGTGTTGTCATGGACATAGTTAACAATCATGGTGTTATTGTGCTCTGGGTAGATTCTCAGAGGTGTTGTCATGGACGTAGGTGACAATCATGGTGTTATTGTGCTCTGGGTAGATTCTCAGTGGTGTTGTCATGGACGTAGGTGACAATCATGGTGTTATTGTGTTCTGGGTAGATTCTCAGAGGTGTTGTCATGGACGTAGGTGACAATTATGGTGTTATTGTGTTCTGGGTAGATTCTCAGAGGTGTTGTCATGGACGTAGTTGACAATCATGGTGTTATTGTGCTCTGGGTAGATTCTCAGAGGTGTTGTCATGGACGTAGTTGACAATCACGGTGTTATTGTGCTCTGGGTAGATTCTCAGGGGTGTTGTCATGGACGTAGTTGACAATCATGGTGTTATTGTGTTCTGGGTAGATTCTCAGGGCAGTTGTCACAATCGTAGGTGACAATCATGGTGTTATTGTGCTCTGGGTAGATTCTCAGAGGTGTTGTCATGGACGTAGTTGACAATCATGGTGTTATTGTGTTCTGGGTAGATTCTCAGGGCAGTTGTCACAATCGTAGGTGACAATCATGGTGTTATTGTGCTCTGGGTAGATTCTCAGAGGTGTTGTCATGGACGTAGTTGACAATCATGGTGTTATTGTGTTCTGGGTAGATTCTCAGGGCAGTTGTCACAATCGTAGGTGACAATCATGGTGTTATTGTGCTCTGGGTAGATTCTCAGGGGTGTTGTCATGGACATAGTTAACAATCATGGTGTTATTGTGTTCTGGGTAGATTCTCAGGGCAGCTGTCACAGTCGTAGGTGACAATCATGGTGTTATTGTGTTCTGGGTAGATTCTCAGGGCAGCTGTCACAGTCGTAGGTGACAATCATGGTGTTATTGTGTTCTGGGTAGATTCTCAGGACAGCTGTCACAGTCGTAGGTGACAATCATGGTGTTATTGTGTTCTGGGTAGATTCTCAGGGCAGCTGTCACAGTCGTAGGTGACAATCATGGTGTTATTGTGTTCTGGGTAGATTCTCAGGGTAGCTGTCACAGTCGTAGGTGACAATCATGGTGTTATTGTGTTCTGGGTAGATTCTCAGGGCAGCTGTCACAGTCGTAGGTGACAATCATGGTGTTATTGTGTTCTGGGTAGATTCTCAGGGCAGCTGTCGCAGTCATAGGTGACAATCATGGTGTTATTGTGCTCTGGCGCTCTGGGTAGATTCTCAGGGGTGTTGTCCTAATATCTGGAGACAACCATTGTCGGGTTCGCTGGAAATGATTGAAGATTTTCACTCTGTTATGGAAGATGATTACAATGCTGATGTGATTTTAGTAAAAGCTGTTTTTAAAATCAAATTACTGACTGATCTTAGAGTTGATTTTAAGTAAAATATAAAATACATTTTTCTACCTGGAAATCCCAAAATTGTCCTTGAATTTTATTTTTATAACTTGTTGTTAGACACACAGTTGTGGATTTTATATCATATCATTCATATTGTCATATGTCAGTCTAATTTATAGGTCTAGGCTATATCACAATGTATGTTATTTAACCCTTTCAGTGCTAGGCCAATAATTCATATTTTGTAAGACTTTTTTGTTTGCCTTTTAATTCCATTACCCGTTGTTGAATTTCAACTGTCATGTTGTCACTATTTTATTAATTAGGCTAATTTTGAATAATAACACAATAAGAAAATATATAAGAAAGATAAATCCCGGTATTTGTAGTAAACATCAAATAAAACTTAGTTTTTGTTGCAATTTTCCTGGTTTTCCTATAAATTTTTATGTTCTGATAGCATTATTTGAAACCGAAATCTCACAAAATCAAAAGACATATAGTTTACAATGTAATATTGAATTTAACCCTGATTTAGTTTGACGAGGTTATTGTAATATAGCACTTTTAGGGAAACTAATGTTTTGCAGCAAAGTCTCTGGAACACATTTACTACTACTAAAACAAGATTGCATCTAAATAGTCCGTGACTAGCTGGTGCTGCTACCTAGTAACGCATTGAACAACCATCTGCAGCGCCATCTGTTCGCAATCGGTGGCGACAGCTTAAATACCGGGTTTTGACTCCCCAGTCTTCAAGCACAGATAGCCGAGAAGGCTAGGGCGTGTGTCACTTGGCCAGTGGCATTCGTCTGCTCGGGTTCGAATCCCGTCCTGTGTGGCAAATAATTGGTGACCTGTGTGTTTGTAGCGATATACTACAACCACTGGGACATAGTGAGGCGTTCATAATCCTTGGTTTAGACATACACCTCGAAATCATCGGATTGGGGGAATCTTTTAGCTAAGTGGTTGGTAGTGTATCCTATGAACATGCAGGTCACCAATGGCCGTTTTGCTATTTTTTTTTTTAAATAACCTTCCTCTCTATATCCCTTAGGGGTTTTTAAAAACAACGATATATCGTTTCATAGCACTGAAAGTGTTAAGTATTAAATTACTATATAATTGAACCTCAATTTTCTCATAGATGTTAACAGAATATTTATTATTAGTTGTAAAATTCTATCAACATGTTACAGGCTGAAATATACAACCTAACCAGTGAAATGTATGAAATCAAGATAAGAGGGGCCACACGCAGCATTTATGGTGAAGATAAGGAAGTAGTGGGACGAGCCTCAGAGTCCCGTAAGGTTCCCATGATCAACTGTGGTGTGAGAGACAGTCATTATGTGGTCATGGAAGGCCTCAATGCTGGAATCATTGCCGGGATTGTCTGTGTTTGCTTTGCTCTTTTATTGGCCATAGTTGCCTTTATCATTTGGAGGTTAGTTATAATTAGTATAACTTATTAGTAGTTATTAGTATAAGTTATTAGTATTACAGTATTACAGTTATTAGTATAACTTTTTGGTTATATTGTTATATTACTTGTTGTTATCGCTATCACATATAAAATATTATGTACAGTAGAACCTCGATTAACCGGGAGCGGATCAACCAGGCGGTGGATCAACCGTGGTCAATATAGATGCCTCTTAAATTATGTTACATAACCTCAAAAATACCTTGAAAATGTTGTGAATTGTGTTTCTTTAGCTTAATATGTTGGAATGCACTGTATATATAACTATTTCTGACCATTTTTATATTTAGTTTTATTGTTTTTGAAACATCACAGTTCATTTGACAAAAATAAATGGAAGCAAAACAAAGAAATAGCCATTGGTAGCTTCAAGGTCAAGCTATCTGCTTGCACTGACAATTGTCTGCTACCTACAAATCTGTCTGGTGTGCGCTTGCTGTGTCATCAGTTTGTGATTGGGTGATTAGTAATCATGACAACTTTTTGAATGTGTGTATGAAGAGAAACCCAAGAAAGAATAGAATAACTAAGATAAGAAATAAGCAATTTTGTTATTATGTTAGCATTGTTATCTTTAGGCCTATATAATTTTGCGACTGTTTTTATTGTCGCTAAGTACTATTGTTTTATACTCTTTTATCGTTATCTAATGTTTTTATTGACATTACGACATTCTTCTGTCCTGAAACAGCATATGTAGCAGTAGCCTATGACTAGCAATAGGTACTAGAATTTATATTAATCTGATCTTTATGTGATTTATTGTTGTACACTGTACAGTGTTTAGTAATTTTGTTGTTTGGTTATAAGCTTGATTAAGCTGTGATTTTAAACGTAGGCTACAGTTTTTATAACTTAGCCAAGGTTATTAACTTGACATATCATGATTGCGCAATGGCCTACTAATTGTATTTTGATGATGTAATAAAATGCAAATTATTACATTAACAGCCATTTATATAGTTTCAGGCTTTTCATGGGTTTTTTATGCCATGCTGGATTAATCGTGGTTTCAATTATTTGTGGTCTCAATTGGTGTTATATTACCTGTCATCAGATTAAATGTAACATCCAAAGTACTACATGATTTGGCAAGCTACCATTTTCGACTCCACAGTCCAGTAATAAACATTAAAAACGCTTGAATAGCTTTGTTGATTGTTTTGACATAACACACGACACATGCATCTAACACACAAAATATAAATTAACATAAAAGTGGTCCACTCCGGCTCGTGAAACGGCATTTTGCATACCCCGTGATAGGCCTGTCAAACTAAAAGTATTTATTTAGTAAAACTAATTAAGGATTAAAAGTAAGTTATAAACCTTATAGAAAAACCTGTTGACAGCACTGCCTACCTGTGGAGTAGGTGTGTCACGTGTCCACCAACCATCGTACATGTGATAAACCTCTAAATTTTGTCCGTGAACTTTTTAGAAATTAAACTTGAGTTTACCATTGTGATGTGTACCTAGTATTTTAGTAATACTTGTCACACCATTCATTTACTATGTAAATACCTGTTACTCTGTTGACACCGTCCTTGTATTTCAGAAACTGCTTGCATGCGGCCTACTACTACCTAGAGGATGCTCCTGCCCTGCCTCAAACCAGTGTTACGGACTGGGACAGCAGAGATCCTGAGTCTACTGTTCCTCTCAACCAGTTTGCCAGCCACGTTGCCTCACTGCATGCTGATGGCGACATAGGCTTCAGCAAGGAATACGAAGCCATTCAAGCTGTCGCTAACCACAACGAGTTCACCACAGAGTTTTCACAACACTCTGAAAACAAACTGAAGAATAGATATCTCAACATACTGGCTTGTGAGTAGACTTGCCTTTGCACATTTTGAGGCATAGTTTGTTATTTAGAAAATAACCTACAATTTTGTCTATGTTTTTATAGTTGCTTAGTTAGCATAATGCTTTTTAATAAAATAAAATATATTTTTTTGTAAGACAACATACAAAGTGGAGCACAGCTCACAAGAAATGACAGATCAATATATACATTTGAACTATAGTAATGGTACTATACCTCGTCAAGTAATCCAAATGTTGTTGAGGTTAACAACCTACATGTTTCGCTGTAAATACGGCATCGTCAGGGTTACAAAAACGAAGACATCGATGTCACACGCACACAATAAATACACGAATACGAACATTTAATTAGGGAAAGAAAATGTTCGTATTCGTGTATTTATTGTGTGCGTGTGACATCGATGTCTTCGTTTTTGTAACCCTGACGATGCCGTATTTACGGCAAAACATGTAGGTTGTTAAGCTCAACAACATTTGGATTACTTGACGAGGTATAGTACCATTATTATAGTCATATAAAGTAATCCAGGAGCCATCAACATGGAATTTAATACATTTGAAATTACCAAAGACACATTTCATAATGAGAAAAGTTTATTAAATATAGGTGGCAAACGATAAAGATTAATAGAGTAGGCTGATCAGTCTTAAGAATCAACTGAGGTACGTATTACGCATCAATTCACCTCAGTAATTAAATGGTTTGAAACCAAAAGTTCAAACAATATTTTTGTATTTCAGATGATCACAGTAGAGTGAAACTGTTGCCGATCCCAGGCCAAAGCAAGTGGAGTGATTATATAAATGCTAACTACATAGATGGGTTCCAGCGAGCCAATGCCTACATAGGCACACAGGGTCCGTTACCATGCACCTTTGATGCCTTCTGGAGAATGATTTGGGAACAAGGAGTTGCCATCATTGTCATGATTACAAACCTGGTTGAAAGAGGCAGGGTATGTCACTTATTGATCTTATCAACTTTGTCACTATTTTCAAAAAAAAAAAAAAAGTGCAAGTATTTTCACTTTATCACATATTTTCTACATATTTTCACATTAGGTACACAAATGTAAAATTGATTAAATCATACTTTACAAAGATCATTTCAATATCGAAATCATACCGATGTCGACGAAGGTCGTGCAACCAGAAAATTATCGCTATTGCTATGATCGCGCAAGACGATGATGATGTTTTCGTGACTATGAGAAACGATGATGATGTGCATGACCACAGGAAATATTCAGATTTTTTGACGCGATCACACAAGACAACGATGACGTTTCTGTGACCGTAGGAGTTGATGATGAGGTCTATACGGCCACAGGAGATGATCAGAATCTTTACGTCTACACAGTCATAGAAATGTTAATGAATTTGCTGCAATCTAGGGAGGCAATGATTATGTCTATTTTTTCTTAAATCTATCTTAAAATCTATACAAGTTATCAAATGAATTAATCTATGAATCAAAAATTCAAGATAAAATTAGCACGTTTATAAATATTACTTATAAATATTAATATTTATAAATATTAATATTCACATATGAGATGGTTTATGAATATTAATATACTTTTATTACTTAATAAGGTACTTGAATTCTTTATGTGTCATTTGAAAAGAATTTGGCTTTATTTATAATTTACACCCCTATTCTTTTACATGTTTGTATTACTTTGAGTTTTTTTACCTATCCAATAAACATTTACTTTTTTCAGAGGAAATGTGATATGTATTGGCCGAAAGAAGGAACAGAGGTTTATGGATCAATACATGTAAAACTAATCAAAGAAGATATTTTAGCCATGTATACTGTGCGGACATTGCAAATTACTCATGCTAAGGTAATTTAAGTTGGTTAAATGTTGATTGTTTAGTTTTATTGCAAGGAAGGTACTTTTGATTTGATCATCAGACATGAATCATACTCAGTCAATGATTTTCTGTGTCCCCAGCGTTTGTAGTTCTATGACCGACAGTTTTCTTGTTGCTATGAATTGATCATTATTTGCTCCCTAATAACACAATTTCTTGTTGCTGTTTACCCTTAGGAAAAATTCTTAACAGCAACAGCTCCATATACAGTCAGTTTTACTGAAGTACTAATTTATTAATATGGAATGATACATTTTGTAATAATATTCTCATACTGAAAAAACACTTGTTTGTATAAAACATAACATTCACACAATCTTGGACATATATTTTTTTTTTTTCCTACGCCAGTGGCATTTTACGAGAGAGTCACGAGAGAATAAATGTTTAGTGGATGTGCCGGGGATTGAACCCGTCCCTCCCGCACCGAAGTCCGAGACGCTAACCACTAGGCTAGCAATACAACCACCAACCAACCAATTGAATCTTGAAAGAAATCCATTCAATTAAAATATTCTGTACTTGCGTCTTACTTAGCTTTACAATAATAGGTCAAATACGACACGGTAGAAGCAGAGCTGTGGTTGTTATTTGTATCTTAATGCACCGACTCAAGTGTCTTAATGTACACAAGATTAAATATTAAAATTTTACAGGCAAAACGAAAAAAACACGGAGGTAACGAGCGACTCGTTTACCAGTACCATTACACCAACTGGCCTGATCATGGGACACCAGATCATCCTCTGCCAATATTGAGCTTCGTAAAAAAATCTTCCGCTTCAAATCCTTCTGATGGTGGTCCTATAGTTGTTCATTGTAGGTAAGTGGCCAACCCCAACATAACAAATGTGCATAGATCTTCTTCTAAGTCGTCCTTTACATATGCATTATTTGATTATGATTAGGGGTCTGTGGGTTCCCGACCCGGACTCGAAAATCGGGTAATTTTGCACTACCCGAAGGGTTGAGTGGGTAGAAGAAACACCCGAAATTGTTTCAAGCGGGTAATCCGGTAACCTATTATTATTAAAAATTTTAATGTTTAAATTATACAATTTTTGCTTTATATGAAGATAATAAATAAAACCTAAATTGTGTGCTCATAATTTTCCTAACCTCATATTTCAACACCATCCAATAACTGCCAAACTACTGATTAATCAGTCAAATAAATAGTCTTCCGATCCTTATTTTTGGCTACATCAATATCATTGTTGTCTGCTTGCTGGCACACCGTCTGCATTACTCGTACTATAGCATAATTAATTATTATAGTATATAGAACTCAACTGGACAGTCCCTGCCAAGAATGTTGGTATGGGACAAGAATATTTTTTTATATTAGGCCTATTCCTAGTGTTGGGAAGTTAAGTTTACATATTTTATATTCTATATTCCTTGTTTTTTTTTTATGAGTCAGAATGTTAAATATCATCGTCAAATATGTTATAAAATGAATAAATACATTATACAACGTTTATGATTTACAGTATTAAGTCACTATTTTAACTTAGCAAGAAATGCATCATCTGTGCATGAATAATCATGAAAATTAATAATACCCCCCTTGTCAGAACAGGCACTTCAATAAGTATTATCACAACTGTGAGGCTGCATGGTTGACAAGTAGGACTAACTTTTAAAAGAATTATACTTCAGCTGAGCTGAGCGTTGGGGTTCAGGGCGGGCCCTGTCAGATTTGGGAGTTACGGTGTAGTTTTATCAGTTTGTGACAAATTAATTATGGGTTAGAGTTATAAAGTGTTATTAAAGAGATTTAAGTAAATGTGTCTGTTATTGATTAAAGAATATTTATTTCCTTCAAAACTAATGTAAATAAAAAGGTAAAGATTATTCCTAAATTATTTCTCCGGAGTTTTCGTTTTTAACTAAGCCGGTAATTAGAACTAGAAAGACACCACAATCAACATACTGTTCCTGAAAACAGTTTCACTTTGGTCCAAAGGATCCTAGTTTGTCCATACATACACCCAAACCTGTAAGGGAATTAGAACACTATTTGCGAAAAGTCTCAGAAGTGCTTAGCCTATATTGGGGATAAATATAATAGAGGATGGTTGGCAGGCTTAAGATGCAACAATATCAAATTTAAGTAGGCCTAGGCCTAACTTAGCCTAAAGACACAGAGGTTTTATTTTGCCATTAAGTAACGTAAGGGTCTACTAACTTGCAATAGGCTATGTCAAAATATTAAGTTTGTGTTTAATCTTTATATTATTGATACTGGTAAATAAAATATTTCTAAGAGCAGGCATAAAACATTTGTTTGGTAAAATATCAATAAAACCCGAAAAATACTTGAAAATTGAGTTTTGGTCATTTTGAGCCCGACCCGAAAATTACCCGGACTCAAAGTGATCTTTTCAGTACCCGACCCGAACCTAATATTTCACTACCCGCAGACCCCTAATTATGATCATTATTTTTTTTAAATGTTCCTTTAAGGAATTGTATTTAATATACAGTATGTTGTAAGGTAAAATTCAGTTATTATTCCTATGGTGTGAAACAGATTTTTAAGATGTGGGCCTATTTGTAATTTTAATTGTTTCAAAACATTAACCCAACTCTGAAGATTATTGGGTTACATTGATGATTTTCATTTGAATCACGTTTTTCCCTGGTCATTTGATTGCATAATTCACTAGTTTTAAAAATCTACAGTATTACCTAGCACTGTTAATAACACTTTGAGGCATTTCAACTATGTTAGGATTGCTTAATTACTTTCAGGATTTACATTAAATTAATACTTTATGATCGGTATTAGTTTGCAGTTACGCACATATTGAATAATTATTAACTACTTTGTGATATTTTTATATAATTGTAACTTAAGTATATGATTAATTTGTATTTCACAGCGCTGGTGTCGGTCGCACTGGTACTTACATCGTGCTAGATTCCATGTTGAAACAAATCTATTTCAAGAATGAAGTGAATGTATATGGGTTCCTCAGACACATTCGAACCCAACGTAGTTTCCTGGTACAGACTGAGGAGCAATATATCTTTATCCACGATGCTTTGTTGGAAGCCATAACATGTAGCGAATCAAGCCTTAGCCCTGATACTTTGTCTCATCTACTCAAAACAGCTGCTTTGCCCGATCGAAGTCATGAGCATTGGAAAAGACTTGAAGTACATTTTCAGGTAGGTTGGTTAAATTGGTGAATCAAAGTGGTCCTAGTCCCTATGGCCTGTCAGGCTGGTATTTATAGTTCTGTTATAACTAAAAAACATATATTAGTTAACATGTATAAATATAGTGACTGAATGAAAGTGAGAACATTTTATATCTTAAAATGTGAAAAAAACTCTTTGGATGATGTGTCCCTTTCTTTTAGGACAATTTTGTGCCTGACCTAGTCATTAGAGGCAGTCGCCAATGGTTTTGACTTTGTAAGAATGTCGAGATTAGGTGCTATGTAGACAATAAAGAAGAGTAGGGCTTTTAAGCGAGGAAAAATTTCTCTGCGTGCTATAACTCTCTTTACTTAAAGCCATGCAATAATTTTAATGTTAGGTTAAGATACATGAGTTTTGTTGATATAGGGCTCATAATGCTATATGCGGGTTAACAAGTTAAATAGCCCACAAATGCTCTAGTTCTAATAGATATTTGCAGAAAGTTTTTGTTAACTTCCAAATGTCACAAATTACGACAAAAAACTTAGACGACATATTTTCATTTTAAGTATTTTTGCATGGATACATTTTTTGCAGTGTAAGCCTGACAGGCAAGAATTCATGAATTTTGTAACAATATTTGTAATGGTAGGAAAGTTACACATTATATTTTTCCTACAGTTACTTTAAATTATATAAATAATTAGTCTTTCAAACACTGTGCAACTCGTTTTTAGGTTAGGTTAAATCCAAACATTGAACGAAATGGGAAACGCTGCATCAGCTGATTGTAGTCTTAATACCTTTAAGTATTGCCAACTTATTTTCAAGCGTACACTAATTACGTGCATAATAAAAGCACACTGTTTTGTGTTGTTTGGTTGGAATGCTGGTGTGTGCCAAAGTAAAAACTGTGCACCAAAGTAAGGCTTTCTGTACTATAATCTGTGCAAGGATGCCCACTTTGTCGGGTGACTGTAGGAAAAATATATTGTTTGAGAACATCTTTGTTTATTTGCTAGTTCAAGTTTCATTAGACCAAACCTTTGAATATGGATAGAACTAGGCATGAAACTAAATTGGACTGTACATGGAGAATTCACAGGGTGTTGGTAAATTAACTCACAATGAACGAGTCACTAGCATACTAGTACACTTGTAAAAATGCTGATGGACTGCCGTTGTAAAGACTTCTGCGAGTGTCTCACTCCATTGTGTCAACATCCTGGAGTTATGAATAATAAAAAACTAATTTTTACTCCTCAACTATGGCATGTGATTTGATGAATATAAATCCTCTTTAATTACAGGCTTTAACCGCATTTCAACCAAAAGACTATAATTTAATATCAGCTAATAAAACCTGCAATAAGCCGAAGAACAGGAGTCAACAGTTTGTTCCAGTTGAATGTTCAAGAGTTCATCTAACTCCAAAACCTGGGGTTGAAGGCAGTGATTATATCAATGCATCTTGGTGTTTGGGTGAGTATATCATACTTAAAAATTCAAAATAGTAAAAGATTTTGCTGTCATTCAAACCTAAACCCAACAGTGAATGATTATTGGGGATTTAATTAACCCTCTATTGGTCACACCTATTTTTTTAACGCGACCGGTGGCACTATATCTATCAGATACATTTTCCTTAAATAAAAAAAAAAATACTTTAGACATATATTTTCCCACTAATTTTTATTTTACTTTATATAACAATTATAGATTTCAGAAACCTATAGATTTCAAACATATTTCAAGCCGTCTAAGCATTTCTTAGTTTGTAAAAAAAAGTTTTCAGACCTTATAACGTTCCTGTATTCATTAGATACCATGCCTGTCACACTTTATGTAAGTAAATTGAACTCAACATTTTCTTTGCTGGGTAAAAACAGTTTTATTTATTTCTATATTTAATGGAATTACCTAATTTTTGTATTATATAACAGAGATATATCACTTAAAAATGGGACCGGTGGTACTGTATCTATCAGATACAACGGAGCCATCAAGGCATGTGTGCACAGGACGACGCTGACATTGATACTTTACTGAGATTGTGGGGGGAGGGGAGAAAACAGCTCAATGGCCAAGACCGGTTTTGGGGCGGGAACACGGAGAGCTAATGATCCTGTATTTTAGTAGCAGGTTAGGGGCCTATTCCAATAATGGTCAAAACCAGGAATTTTGAATTTCAAAAGCAAAACTTTAGAAATCAATACTCTTCTTGGTTATGTTAGGGTGTGATGCTAGTCTATAGTTCGGCCACTTAGAAAACGACCTGCGCGCTAATGCTAAACCAATGCTGGAGGAGGTCACTTTCTAAGCGGCCGACCTATAGTAGTGGTTATCGTCTCTTTACTGTGAGAAAGGAATGTTTATCCTTTGCAAAATTTGTGAGGTTTGGGTTTCTTTGTCTTAAAAAAGAGTTTAGTGTTGTCTAAACAAAATCATTGGGGTAAATTAACTGTTGATTTACATTTGTAGGATTCAAGAAACTGAGAGAGTTTATTATCACCCAGCATCCGCTGACCTCCACTGTTCTAGACTTCTGGCAGATGGTGTGGGACCACAATGCTCAAACTGTCGTCTTGTTATCCCCCATCACCCCAGATTCTGAGGTAAACTTAACAATAACATAGAAATATATAAGTCAATTATTACTTTTTGAAAGAAGCAATTTTTTAGGAAGATTTTTTGGAGAGGGAGTTCAGCTGGCTACCTGAGAAAACTAGCTCCCAGTAGTTAAAAGTCACACGATAGAGGTAAAAAAACACAACATATTTTTAAGTTTAGGCCTACATCACAAAACCACAATGAAGATATATATATACCTAACTTAAACACCCTTAGGTTAAGTTATTTTATAATTATTAGGTGTGGTCAGTGGAAAACGTAAGTACCCATTTTTACTGTACTGAGCGTTTAATACAAATTTTACCATCTAAGATTTAACTCAAACACACACATGTGAAAAATGATTTGTAAAATTTATTTTGGACGTTTGGTAGTAAAAAATGGGTACTTACATATTATACCGACCACACCTAATAGTTATAACCTAACCTAACCTATGGGTGTTTAGATTAGGTTAGGAAGATTTTGTTATTTAAACTAATTAAAATCTTATTTCAAAGTTGATTTATTGGTCTGGTTGGTATAATACGTAAGTAGTACCAAACATGTTTAGTAAGATCATTGAGTATACACATACTAGAGTAGACACTCAAACTCAGTGCTGTTACAAAGTAGCGTCAGCGGCCCAAACTACGCCATCTCGGGCAGTTAAGTTGGTTTTTAACGTTTTGCTTGTTTTAGGTTGTAAAATGTTGTTTTTGTTGATGAAATTTGTTTGTTTTTTTGTAGTTTTATTGTTTTATAATGCATGTTTATTACTAAATTATTTAAAAGGGCTCATAGGCGCACTACACTACCAACCGACTACAGCGAACCAAATGTCAGCGGCCCAAACTACATTCCCAAAATCGGTAACTATTAGCATTATTTGTCCCCTCCTTTACGTGTATACTCAATGGTAAGAATTAAAAATTACATTACCATTGAATTACTGTAGTATGCAGTTGCTCAATAGTACATCAATTTTACAGGAATATTGCGTCTTCTGGCCTGCTGATGGGGAGAGTCTAGATGGAGAGAACTTCAAGGTCAAGTTGATAGAGGAGAGTGAGCTTGACAACACTGTGTCCAGGGATTTGACCGTCCAGTCACTTCAGGATGACTATGAGTTGACTGTCCGGATAATTCAGTCCCCCGTAGTGGAACCTCTGACTGATCTGCCGGCACTGTTCAAGTTGCTCAACACTGTACAAGAGTGGCACCTCGAGTACCAGAACGGCCCTATTGTCGTCATCGATCGGTAGGTTGTGGTATTGACTAACTAAAGTTGGTTTTCAGGGCGCAAGTGGAGCACGGAAAGCAGAGTCCTTTTGTCTCAGGTAATTTAAGGGTACTGTTTTCCTAAAAGCGGAGGGGACCACCACTAGATGAGCGGAAAATTGCTTCTCTGCATAGGAAAACCCAGCTTAACACAAGTAGACTTATCTTTCCATTGCAACATCTGAAGATTTTTGTATGTGTGGTTCATGTGGGTGATGTTAAGTGCTAGTACCATCAAAATTTTTTTATAGTTAATATCATGGTTTCTGATTTACCGTTTGGTTATAAAACCAGAGGAAACAGAGGACAAGGTATTGTCTGTTGTTGTTAGATCAATTTATTTGTTTAAGCTAGTTTTGAAATAACTAGAAACAAATGGTAAACAAAGACATGCCCCTACATGTACTGGACGAAACTGACAGTAAAATTTTCTTCACCTGATCCATAAGGATGACAAATCTTGGAGTATTATAATAACCTGTGATTGTGATCAAGTTGTTTCTTGTGTCCACCCCTGAGGTTACATTGGAAACCTAGTCCAGAAATTAAAACTTGGATAGTTAGAGGTTGGATATCTACATTCAGTCCCGATTTGTGTAATTTTGTGTATAAGTGCTTCACAAACAAATTTAGCATGTACAGTATCTAATGAAGCATTTTTGTTTTTGGAGCTTCTTTATTACTAAATAAATCAAATAACTTTGCTAAAAACTGTTTAATTTACAGTATTATAAAAATATAGACCGTCTCTATTTTCTTATTCTAGGAAGAAATTGTTGCTGTGTTGCTGTTGTGTGATTCTATTACATCTTTCAGCTCCTAGACTAACCGGTTTGATGTTGGCTCTACTATGATAAGCTCAAATTATAAAAACAACTCCATAATTTTGTGCTTGATTTGTGTTTTTAAAGGTATGCAAATACAAATTTTTACAACTGTCACGTGTCGTCAGCTCTACCCCAGTCAGTCGCGACTCACCCTCAGCCGGCGACGTCCCACGTCTTGTTTTACCATCTAGTCGGCCAGTGCTATTTTGTTTTGTGTTTCCGTGTAATGTTATTTGTATACTATTAAACTTGTTACAAACTCCACCACGAGAAAATTTTAATGAAGTCTTGACATTCTTCTGACCTTATGATGTGCTCCGTCTGAAGCACAAAACAGTTAATCTAGTAAACTTAAAAGAATCGTTTTGGACAGTAACAAGATAGTACAAATCACTATAGTTCATATTTTTCTTCACATATTATGTATTTTTACCTCAACAATAAAAAATAACCATGCATATAATGTTATAGATATGGAGGCACTGAAGCAGCAACATTTTGCAGCTTAGCAACACTTGTGAAACAGCTAGATTATGAGAATAATGCAGATGTTTGCATGTATGCAAAGCTTTACCACAACCGTAGAGCTGGGGTTTGGCAGACGATGGTAAGCAAATCACAGTCATTACCTAAAGCTATGTTCATAATGGAAATAACAGTAAAAGCATTGTAAGTACAAGGTGTCCACGCAACTGGAGTTGCAGTATTTATAAGGGAATTTTTCGGCGGCGTAAGTTATAGGTAGCCTAGTTTAGTCAAAAATACAGATTTTTTTCATTTCACTAAGTAAAATATTTTGTTGTTGAAATAATTACTATAATTGTATAAGCGACGAAAGACCACCATCAACAAAACATGGATAAGCAGATGGTACAATGTACATTTTTTAGACAGAGCCAGGCGTCCTGAAAGCCACGATGGTGGGCCAGGTAGACGTTGTCTGGGTTGAAGCTTACAGGGAAAACGTAAAATTCAAGCTGCTTGACCTCCCAGCAGCGCCTCAACGGTTGTCTATCCTTTCTTGAATCAGTAATACTAGGTGGCGTTCGCAGAGGCATCCACAAAATTGAGCGGAGTCATCAAGGGTTTATATTATACTAGCTGTAACCCGCGGGCTTTGCCCCGTTTAACTTCTTAATTTTCAAGATTATCTCGTTCGCATGGCTCAATCACGTCCTGGTTGAAGTTTGTTCGCTACGCTCACTCACCTTTAGGTTGGAGCTCGTTCGCTACGCTCACTCACCTTTAGGTTGGAGCTCGTTCGCTGCGCTCACTTGCCTTCAGGTTAGCTCGTTCGCTACGCTAACTCGCCTCCAGGTTGAAGTTCGTTCGCTACGCTCACTCACCTTTTGGTTGCAAATTAGCTGTTGTCATAAATGTAAAAGAAATAATAGTGCTGCACACTGTTGGTAATTTTTGTAACTTTAATGCTATTGAACATCACAGAACAGAACCAACTTGTTTAATTGAAACAGCTGTTAAGATTCAATAATTTCATTTCTCATAAGGTTAACATGGGAAACTCCAGAGCCACTGGGGCGGAGCCCGAAAGGATTTTTGAAATAAGAATATGCCTATATGTTAATCGGGAATGTGAGCTATCATCATGCCAAATTTCAGCCCAATCCGACCAGTATTTTTCGCGTTCACTTGTCACAAACATACATCCATACATCCATACATCCATCCATACATCCATACATCCAAACTTTCTCATTTATAATATTAGTAGGATTGTTTTGGTCATACTGCAGTAATACCAGTCGTTTTTAATGCATGCGTTGCGGGTCTAAAGTAGCAATTTTACTCTTAGGAAGTAAAAAATGTTTTTATCCTCTATGGAGTAAAAATCAGCTGTTGTCAACTCAGTTGTAAATTTCTATTATAAACGATTGCATGTATCGAAATATGTATCGATTGGTGCTTCGAAATTATTTTAACCTACAGTCTACAGTCTCTTCCTAAAGCGTTTTAGCTTTGCAGATACATTAATCCATTACCACACTCAACACGCTCACCTTTACTACTTCCTTCACCACCCCCTACGTCGTGGACCTATTTCCCTCTCTTCCCATAACATTTTAGGATTGCAGATATATTAATGTAATTGCCAAAGACAGTTCCCACACTCTGCACTGCAAGCCTTACCACTTCCTTCACCATTTCCTACGTCATAGACTTGTTTCCTTCCCTTCTCATAGCATTTTTGGATTAAAGATACATCAATCTAACTGCCACAGACGGTTTTCACACTATGCTCATACTTTACTACTTTCTAAGCCTTTTTCTACATCGTGGACCTGTTTTCATCACTTTCCATAGCAATTTAGTATTTTAGACACGTTAATCTAATTGCCACAAACATTCCCCCACACTCCGCACTGCTAGCCTTTACTACTTCTTCCACCATTTTCTATGTCGTGGGGATGCTTCCATCCCTTCTCATAGCATTTCAGCATTGCAGATACATTAATTTAACTGCTACAAACGGTTTCCAGTTCCCACACTCCACACTGCTCACCTTACTAATTCCTTCACCACTTCATACGTCTAGGACCTTTTCTCTCCCTTCCCATAGCATTTTATGATTGCAGATACCTTAATCTAATTGTCATAAACAGTTTATATACTCCGGACAGCTTGCCTTAAATACTTCCTTCATCACTTCCTACGTCGCGGACCCGTTATCCTCCCTTCCCATAGCATTTTATGATTGCAGATATCTTCATCTAATCGTCATAAACAGTTCCCACACTCCGGACTGCTCGCCTTTACTACTTCCTTCACCACTTCCTACGTCGCGGACCTGTTTCCCTCCCTTCCCATAGCATCATAGGATTGCAGATACCTTAATTTAATAGTCATAAACAGTTCCCACACTCCGAACAGCTTGCCTTGACTACCTCCTTCACCACTTCCTACATCGTGGACCTGTTTTCCTCCCTTCCCACAGCATTTTATGATTGCAGATACCTTAATCTAATCGTCATAAACAGTTCCCACACTCCAGACTGCTCGCCTTTACTACTTCCTTCGCCACTTCCTACGCCACGGACCTTTTTCCCACCCTTTCCATAGCATTTTATGATTGCAGATACCTTAATCTAATTGTCATAAACAGTTTATATACTCCGGACAGCTTGCCTTAAATACTTCCTTCATCACTTCCTACGTCGCGGACCCGTTATCCTCCCTTCCCATAGCATTTTATGATTGCAGATATCTTCATCTAATCGTCATAAACAGTTCCCCAACTCCGGACTGCTCGCCTTTACTACTTCCTTCACCACTTCCTACGTCGCGGACCTGTTTCCCTCCCTTCCCATAGCATCATAGGATTGCAGATACCTTAATTTAATAGTCATAAACAGTTCCCACACTCCGAACAGCTTGCCTTGACTACCTCCTTCACCACTTCCTACATCGTGGACCTGTTTTCCTCCCTTCCCACAGCATTTTATGATTGCAGATACCTTAATCTAATCGTCATAAACAGTTCCCACACTCCAGACTGCTCGCCTTTACTACTTCCTTCGCCACTTCCTACGCCACGGACCTTTTTCCCACCCTTTCCATAGCATTTTATGATTGCAGATACCTTAATATAATGGTCATAAGCAGTTCCCACACTACGAACAGCTTGCCTTGACTACTTCCTTCATCACTTCCTACGTCGCGGACCCGTTTTCCTCCCTTCCCATAGCATTTTATGATTGCAGATAACTTAATCTAATCGTCATAAACAGTTCCAACACTCCGGACTGCTCGCCTTTACTACTTCCATCGCCACTTCCTACGCCACGGAACTGTTTCCCTCCCTTCCCATAGCATTTTATGATTGCAGATACCTCAATCTAATCGTCATAAACAGTTCCAACACTCCGGACTGCTCGCCTTTACTACTTCCTTTGCCACTTCCTACGCCACGGAATGTTTCCCTCCCTTTCCATAGAATTTTATGATTGCAGATACCTTAATCTAATTGTCATAAACAGTTCCTACACTCCGGACAGCTTGCCTTGACTACTTCCTTCATCACTTCCTACGTCGCGGACCCGTTATCCTTCCTTCCCATAGCATTTTATGATTGCAGATATTTTCATCTAATCGTCATAAACAGTTCCCACACTCCGGACTGCTCGCCTTTACTACTTCCTTCGCCACGGACCTGTTTCTCTCCCTTTCCATAGCATTTTATGATTGCAGATACCTTAATATAATGGTCATAAGCAGTTCCCACACTCAGGACAGCTTGCCTTGACTACTTCCTTCATCACTTCCTACGTTGCGGACCCGTTTTGCTCCCTTCCCATAGCTTTTTATGATTGCAGATACCTTAATCTAATCGTCATAAGCAGTTCCAACACTCCAGACTGCTCGCCTTACTACTTCCGTCGCCACTTCCTACGCCACGGACCTGTTTCTCTCCCTTCCCATAGCATTTTATGATTGCAGATACCTTAATATAATGGTCATAAGCAGTTCCCACACTCCGGACAGCTTACCTTGACTACTTTCTTCATTACTTCCTACGTCGCGGACCCGTTTTCCTCCCTTCCCTTATAATTTTTGGAATGCAGATACCTAAATCTAATCGTCATAAACAGTTTCCACACTCCAAACTGTTCACCTTTAATACTTCCTTTAACACTTCCTACGTCGCGGACCTCAAGCTAGTGTCGTCATTTGATTATTTTATGATCCATACCACCGTTTATGTTCTAATATCTGTGGAATAATGCTATCAGCTATTTATTTATCTACTGCATTCAAAAGTCAACAGCTGATCATATGTCTTTGTTTATGTGTCAAATACTGCTTCCATAAGGATTACATTGAAACTTTGAGACCCAGTGGGGCGGATTCCTGAGAGTTATTTTTAACGCCATATAGATGTTGGAACTCACCGATATTGTCTTTATCACCATCCAAAATTTGAAAACGATTGATTCAGCCGTCTAGGAGGAGTTTGCGTATTACGAAATGCATAAAAGTCGACGTATAAGAGCTTCGCTCAATGAGTTATAAACCGATGGCTAATGTACTATACTGTCTAGAACTATGAAGATATAGTGTATCGTAGTTGGTGTCTCCTACAAATGCAATGATTATTTTTAACGTTTGTCATCAACCGGACTCATGCTGAGAAATCTAGGATCATTAGAGTGTTATTGAAATTAAGTGACCGTAATTTGTACAGAGATGCGTTGCCATTCTGTTTATGCTAGAAAGGGATAATAGACCCTACATTTAATTGTTTTTGTTAGAACGATATTTTATAAAAGAGAAGATTTTTTTAATGCTATGTGTTTCACAAGAAAATAATCCTTTAAACAAAGGTAACCACTAGAGAATTAGTGAATTAGTACGTACCAAATTGCATCAAACTCGGGAAACTCAAAGTCATATGCGTAATCTTTAGCTTTGTCCATATTTACACAGATATCATCCGTTCTTGGACTACTGTAACTATATTCTGTGAACCATATTTTAAGATATTTTTATAAGGTTTGCTTGCTTATATTGCTACATTAGTTTTTTTTTTCATGGCAAAACAATATCAAATATGCATAATGACACTTATATTTTAAATAACTGGTTTACAATATGATATGAACAATCTTCTAACTGTATATTGTTATCTGCAGATTGACACATGCTTATAGGCGACTATTGTACATTACGAATGTGTGTTCAAAAATATACATCATTGGCAAAACAAATCAAACACAAACAAATCAAATCATAAACACAAATTACCAAAAACCTTCATATACAAACGAAGCAAACCTTGTTAAACAACCTTAACACGTTCGGTGCTAATAATTTATGAGTATTGCGACCCTAAAATGTGAAAAAATTATAATGTGATTACTTACTCAAAAATGATGTCAGGGTATCCAAAATGATAATTCTAGATGTCTCAGGGTCAATTTTGGCTGAAATAGGTAACACCACACTTCCGGGGCAGGGTTTCCTCTCCTTAGGTACTGATGCCGGTCCTTGTCCAACCCGTAACTATTTTTCAGCCCCTCACACTCATAGTAAATAGTTTTTATATAGCCAAAAAATTTATTTAATATAGCCTTACTGTTGTGATTAATTATTAAGGAAATAATGCAATATTGTTGAGTGGAATAAAATCAACCGTTTGCATGCAAGTTATAAGCACTCACGTCTATGTCTACACATTTTTGTGACACTCTGTATATATATGTAGATAGTTTGATGCAGGATCTAGCCCAAAAACTACAAGATTTGTACATTGATTTTACAAAAGTTTGTTAATTTCCGCAACTATTAGCAACTTTATGAGAGAAGTGCTAATCATAACACTTTGTGCTTGTAGGACAACTATCTACTGCTTTACCAAGCCCTTGAAGTCTTATCAGCCAGTAAAGGAGTCTCTTTAATCTCCTCTTCTAGTCCAAATCACCTTCAGCCCAACGGCTACACCAGTACCAACACCGGTGCTTCCTAGTTAATAAGTCTTCAAGTCAAATGCTAAAAACAATCTTTACCGTTAAGGTTCAGATCTATATTACTCCGGCTGAAAATATTTAAATTGTGAAAAATATCTAGCTTTACATTCAATTGCTACATTTCTAAGAAATTTCAGTTATGATTTCAAAGTGGCAGTATTGGAGAAAAAATTGTATAACCAAACTACATCTGTTTATTCCCATTTTATATGTGCATCATTTTAATGTGAAAAAATGGTTTAATAAACTACTTAGTTTAATTTTAGCTCAAACTTTCCTTCAAAATCTTTTTGAAAAAAATGTTGAATTAATTTTATCAACATTTTTCAATTGTGGTTAAAACTTATTATTTTCATCACCTTTATTTAATGTTTAGAATTTAGTAATGGTAAAAATAAGGTTTGTTACAATATTGGTACAGTCGTTCTATAACATATTGGGTTTTAGAATGTTTGTATCTACCCAAAGATTTGTTTGCAAACAAACAAAATGGCCAGATTTGGCAAATCATATTGTTAAATTTAAATGGTTCAACATTACCCAAATGTTGTAAATTTGTGATTTTTTATTTGTTTTTCTTGAAAGATCAAATCTGAGTACAATTTAATCGAGGCTTTTGACTACCTATTTATTTACAGGGTAGGTTTAAAATTTGTTCCCAATTTAGTATGTATCCCATCTCAATTCCACTTGAAGTCTTTAAGGCCAATGTTTTTCTTACTAGTCACAGAAAGTTTAAAATCATTGGTAAAATGCTGAGATAAAATAGTTTATAACATTGAAGCCAAATTCAACATATTTTGTTGGAGTTAAATAATATGAAATAAGTATGCATGGCCTATAGCAACTAACATTTTTTTGTGAAACAAACAAAATTACCTTTTCTCTTTCTAGTCCCAAAAGCTTCAGTCCACAAAAATATTAGAGTCAAAAATATTTTATGGGGACAAAATTTAGACTAACCCTGAATTTTTATAAGTTTTTAACCTGTATATATAATAATTTATAAGATCATATTGCATTAAGAACAAATGTTAATTGTATGTTTAGGCCCTAGTTTTAAACGTGTTACAGTTTCTTTAGTTTGAAACTTGAAAACTTGAAGTCATATTTGTTGATTATTGTGATTATCTTTTTCATGAACAAAGAATTTTTGTTTTAATAGGAAAAAATAAGTACTCTAACGTTTTCCACTAACATATAATTCCAAACTGTTTGAAACCTTTATACATTTATGTTACTTTTGTTAAATTTTTGTGTGGACTGTCCAGAAAGGAACAAATCATGGTGAAGGGGCCATCGTAATGTGCACATTCACTTTTTCCTCAGTGAACTTAGATAAATGAGCACTGCAATTGAAAATGTATCCAGTTTTAAATTCTATGAAACATTACACACAAATTAAAGTTGTTGTCAGATATGAACGTGTAGTCGTGTAGCAATGAAAATTATTATTAAATAGTCACAGAACGACAGCAGGATTTTAGACTAAAAATGTAAAATGGAGAAATTGTGTGAATATTGTTTGATTACAAAAATTGAATGCAATCGTTATTGAACCAATTTAAAAATACTTCTGTAAGAAAACATATAAATCTAGCCGGAAAAGTTTGGGAAATCTGACACGAACATGGAATAAAAGTTGGTTAGCAAAAAAGGAAAAAAATCAGGATAGCAATTAGGAGATAGTAAAAACATAGGGAGTAACCAATTAACTCATTACCCAATTCCTTGGCCGATTACACCTTTTTTTATCATCACATAAGCCCCCGCCAAAAGAACAAATGCTGCACCGAGTTCTTGTGCACCTGCAGTTGCATTCACAAGCGGAAACCAGTTGTTTTTGGTCTTGCGGCTTTGTTGGTTACAATGTTGCTCAAAAACTAAAAACAAAATCAGTGACATTGTTGCATTCACGAGCGGAAACCAGTTGTTTTTGGTCTTGCGGCTTTGTTGGTTACAATGTCGCTCAAACAAAATCAGTGACATTGTTGCATTCACAAGCGGAAACCAGTTGTTTTTGGTCTTGCGGCTTTGTTGGTTACAATGTTGCTCAAACAAAATCAGTGACATTGTTGCATTCACGAGCGGAAACCAGTTGTTTTTGGTCTTGCGGCTTTGTTGGTTACAATGTTGCTCAAACAAAATCAGTGACATTGTTGCATTCACGAGCGGAAACCAGTTGTTTTTGGTCTTGCGGCTTTGTTGGTTACAATGTTGCTCAAACAAAATCAGTGACATTGTTGCATTCACGAGCGGAAACCAGTTGTTTTTGGTCTTGCGGCTTTGTTGGTTACAATGTCGCTCAAACAAAATCAGTGACATTGTTGCATTCACAAGCGGAAACCAGTTGTTTTTGGTCTTGCGGCTTTGTTGGTTACAATGTTGCTCAAACAAAATCAGTGATATTGTTGCATTCACGAGCAGAAATAAGTTATTTTTGGTCCTGCGGCTTTATTGGTTACAATGTTGCTCAAACAAAATCAGTGACATTGTTGCATTCACGAGCAGAAACAAGTTGTTTTTGGTCTTGCGGCTTTGTTGGTTAAAATGTCGCTAACTTGAGCAGAGTCTAAACTCGAGCTTAACTTCAAACTTTATATAGTATAGATCGAGTCAACTAGTTGGCTTCCAACAACACTAAGACTAAGAGTCCACGGCTGAACACTAGTGGTGTTAAATTAACCCAGCAATCAATTTTTGAGATGATTGTACAAAATTAAAAGTAACGGTGTTAGGGGAAGTGGTTGCACATGCCCATCCCGCTGCCCACTCTTATTGAAACTATCTATAACTGTATAAATTCAATGAGCGTGTTAATTTATTTCCCAATGCATCTTACTTTCTGGACAGCCCTTGTGCAACAAAGTGTAATTCATAAAGTAAATCTCAAAAGTTTTAACAATCTTTCTATTTTCATTTTGAAAACCTATTTCTTGAGACTTGCATTCTAAATAGATTTCCTCATACGGTATGAAATAAGCTGTTTTTATCACAACGCATGCTTTTGTATAAATTATTTTTACAACTCATGTTGTGTTTGGAATTATATGTAACCGGAATGTTATGTTTGTTAGGCCTCAGTATTTTTCTAATGTTGGCTTTAAGTTGGACTCTTGAAGTTTGCTCATAGCCTTGGCAGTACAAATGGTGTAATATAAGTTTTATATTACACCAAAGGGGTAAATTCAAATTATATTTTATAAATTAACACGTTACAAATAATTTTATAATGTATTTAGTTGTTTATCTCGAATATACCTTTATCAAGACTGCTAAATATTGAAATGTATTAGTTAAACTGTATTTAAAATTTGTTATACTTTTGTATATTTTTTTTTTTTTCAATCTTATTCAAACCTATTGCTTCTAGTGTTTAGAACTGCGCTACACTTTTGTGGAATATTTCCATAATATAAAATTGTTAAAAAATATACTTATAAGTATAAAAATTACAATAAAGAAAATAAGTTTTCAGTTAAAAAAAGTTTCAAAGTTATGTTAGTTAAAATTAAATTTGGAATCCTAAAAAACTTGAAACTTGAAGTAGCATAGTTTTAATACACTAAAAGTAACCGGTGGAGTACAACTTTAAGTATTAGCTTTAGTGTTGATTCATTTTGGATTTTTAGTTAAGTAACAACTAACTGCATTTAAACTTCAAAGTGAAGTCGTTTAAGTCATAATAAATATACAAACACTGTTAGTTAATTTATACATTTATATCTTGAAACATATTCTATGTAAATAGTATGTAATGCTATTTTAGTCAAGCAATGTTTTATATAATGTTGTTAAAATACATTTTGTATCCCATCATTGTTTTCTTATCGTAGTTAAAAATGTTTAACTTCTATGTGCTATTGCATAACTTATCTTTGGTTTATGACAAATCAATAAAACTTGTTCTATGACATTGTAATTGTAAAACTATTCTCAGGGTAATATGCAAATTTAAGTTATTAGAAACCAGTATGCAGCCAAGGAAAATAGGGATTGTAGCATAAGTTATTCTTCTTTTTCCTCCGTAACAAGTTTTATCATTGTTACATGGGCTTGAAAATAATTTTACCTTTAAGTATTTGCTATAAATAATGACATGAAAATTGTGTGAGTAATAAAGGAACTTGTTTTGTTATGTTCAAACAACAGTTTGTGCTACAATCCATGCATATTGATTTATTTCCGTTTGTATACTTTAATATATTTTACAGTAAAAACTCAAATCAAATCTATAAATAGTTGGACCCACAATATTTAACATCTGATGAGATTTTGATAAACTTAAATGTGTGTTTAAGATTATATGAAATCAAAGTGAGTGTAAACCATTGTGAAATCCCTCGTGTTGTTAATTTAACAAATTTTACCATTACAATCCAAATCAACCATTTCCAAGTTCAAAACTTTTTACCCCGTGGCCAGTTTTGTTAGAAAGTAATGAAGTGGATTTGTGTAACTAACAAAATCTATGAACTGGATCAGGTATGTATCTGCTGTTTATTTCATAATTCTGTTTAAACTTATTTTCGGAACTAAGCTATTTAAGATGTCTCAAGAGATTAAATATTTTAAGTAATTCCATCTTTGTTTTAAGCTCGCTTTTTCCATCAAATAAATCCATTTTCTGACTTCAGTAGTTTTTTTTTTTTTTTTTTAAAAAAAGAGGTTGGCGGCCTCTTTTAACCTTGCATTTGCCCGTCCACATAGACTAAGCGCCCGTGCGTGGATCGTTAACAGCAAAGCAAGGAGTGAGCCAGTACAGTACAAAGGTGAACTGTACTGATAAAATGTTATCGGCAGTGACCAGGATCCGAACCCACGACATCGCTGCCTTGGGCCCGAAGTCCGCGACGCTACCGACTGAGCCACCGACTCACTAAATAACATTCATTATTATTATTGAAATGAGTTCTGAGTGTTTGTATGATAAATATCTTAGGAGTTCAATCCCATTACAAAAAATAAATAATTGGCCCAAAATACTACAAAGACCTTTTAAAGTGAATTCTTAAACTATCATTTGAAAAAATCAGCATTACCATTGACTATACACAGAATAGACTTCCCATGTAATGTTAAAATTTGAATCGAAGACAATAGATGAAGTTCAGGACCATCTCACCAGAGGGTACTTAGTGTATTGGGTTAAATATTAATGAAAACCAATGCAGTATCATAGCAAACAGCTGATTGATTTATCACTTGACACAGAATATTGTCATTAGTTGATGGACCATCTCAACAGATTGCACCACGTTTTTTGCTAAACATTTTTACATTACTTGGGAAGTCTCTTCTGTGTATAGTCAATGGCATTACCTACTTGATCTCAAAAGTCAGTTATGAAAATATGATCATGCACAGGTTTTATTCACAAACATTTGTAAAAATTCAACCTCTAGATATAATTATATTGCTTGTATAGTATGCTAAGTTATGAATAATTTATCTTGACTAATAAGTTATTCTAACGAACACTAACGTTTTTTATTTATGTATTGTCTTTTTCATTCAACATAAAATAGTACAGGGTCATGATACCAGTGTATGAAGCAACACTAGAGTTTTACAATTTGTAGATAATTACTCGTATGATTTGCATTTATTTTTGTAAAGTTGATCATAAAAAAAAATATATTTTGTAAATTTGTGTTTCTGTCTGTGTGAATTTAAGAATTGCGTGACCAACACTTTTTTATTTCAGTATTAGCTCTAAAAGTTTCAATATACGATTAGCTTTAAGTTCAAATTTAGTTGACGTTACAGATAGTATTTACAATTACATGTAACCAACTGTAAACTATACTGTCCACCATTTCAAATGTGTCATATTATTGGACTAGAATGTCCTAGATTTATATAAATGTTTAATTCATCACTAGTCATCTGATAACTAACTGTTTGATTGCAATTCAATTGTTCTGATATGTTACTGTTTTATATTTTATTAAAACACTTAATTTGTATCCTAAAGTTGACTAAATTTCCCCTGTGGTCAAATAGTTTATAATTTATAGTTATATAAGATGTTTGTGTTTTAAAAACCATGTCAATGGTACATCATTAGTAGTTTTTATTTACACTGGCTAAAGTGTTTAATCTTTCCCACCTTGACAAAATATCCCCAAGCATTAGTAAATCTTGCTCTATGAGTAAGTAGCTGCAATTATCAACATGCATTATGTTTTTAACCTTTACATAAATATATTACCAGATTTGATCATTAATAAACAAAATGGACCAACAACTTGTTGTGATACCATACCAGGCTTAAAATCATTAAGTTGTGGTAGCTTACCTGAGAAGATTAGAGTCCAGGGGCTAATAGATACATAATGATCCTTTAAACAACAATTTACTTTCACTAACAATGAAATTCAAACAAAATAATTAATATTAGTTGTGTAGGGGCATGTGTAAATATAGGAAGGTTTGTGGGATTTTGAATGAAGCAATTGTATGATTGGTGGCGATATTTAGGTAATGGTATCTAGCATCGATCTTTTAAGCATACCTTAAATCTTTTAATAAAAACTGATTTGTAAAAAGTTAAATTTAATATTGTGTTGGGGTTTGTAGTTTGACTCTAACTCGTCCAATTTAAATGATCGATAGCTCAAATGAAAGCCCTTACTTAACTGAATATTTTAAGGCTAGAACAAACTGCAAGCGTTAATAAGAACTGGAGATATAAGAAAAATTATTTTAAAAATTTTCAAAATACAATATATCCATAAGAAATGTATTGGGAAGAGTTTTCATTTGAA